ATGTGTGTTTCTAATTACTGCTATTTATTCATATTTGTTCTCTTTTATTCTTTAAAGTTTAACCATTCATTCTTTATCTTAATATCTTTATATTTGTTTGGGATTGGCTTTCTTCCCTTTCATCTTTTTTATTGTACAGCAATCTTTCTCCTCAAACCTACCACCTCTCTCTTTTCTTTCCTTCTTACTTTCTCTTCCCCCCCCTCTTCTTCTCCCTACTTCCTCTTCCTTTCTCCTTCTCCTCCTCTCTTCCTCCCCCTCTTACCTTCACTCCTACTCTAATTTCCCTTCCCTTCCTTCATCCCTCTCTATTGCTGTATCCTTTTATGCATATGGCCTACTCAGAGGGCTGAAAAAGTTATTTTTGACTGGTCCTCGCACTTTTGACCAGTCCTCGAACTTACGACTGTCTTCACATTTTACGTTTTTTGCTCTATCTTATCACCATGGTGAAGAGAAGCAGTTGTGAAATGAAATGAGTTGACATGGTTGTTAAGGATGATGCTGCATGGGCATAAATGTGAGGATGGTCATAAGTGTGAGGACCAGTCAAAAGTGCGAGGACCTGTCAGAAATGATTTTTTCAGCCCTCTGGTTAGTCCTTTTGTGCATATGGACTACTTAGAGGGCTGAAAAAGTTATTTTTGACTGGTCCTCACACTTTTGACCAGTCCTCGAACTTACGACTGTCCTCACATTTTACATTTTTGCCCTATCTTGTCATCATGGTGAAGAGAAGCAGTTGTGAAATGAGTGACATGGTTGTTAAGAATACTGCACGGGCATAAATGTGAGGATGGTCATAAGTGTGAGGACCAGTCAAAAGTTTGAGGACCTGTCAGAAATGACTTTTCAGCCCTCTGAGTAGTCCCTATACACATAGCCATGGCCACCCGGTCACATGACCAGCTAGCCACGCCTACCCAGTCACATGGCCTCCAAGCCACGCCCACACAATAAGTCACGCCCACAATGGTGTCCTTCTTACCAATGTTAAAATCTGTTCACCTTACCCTATACACATAGCCATGGCCACCCGGTCACATGACCAGCTAGCCACACCCACCCAGTCACGTGACCAGCTAGCCACGCCCACCCAGTCACGTGACCAGCTAGCCACGCCCACAAAATAAGCCACGCCCACAATGTCCCTCTTTACCAATGTTAAAATCTGGTCACCTTAGTTAAGAGAGAATTATTTGCAATTTTTGCAATTTTTGCCAGAGGGTGACTCTGGGTGGGAGAAGAACCAAACTGGGGAAATCTACCAGTTCCTTAATTTGACTTGCAATAATTAAAAAGTGACAGAACCATTCACTGGCCTCATTACTGTCGCATGAGTGGCAGTGGCAAATGAGGGCAGAAATCTTAAACTGACACAAGAATTGGGTAGAAAGCATTATAATGGAGTTGTGAAGGGAAAGCCTGTTGCTTTCCAAATGTTGTGAATTTATAATTTTCAGCAACCCTCATGTCTGGCTATGCTAGTTGGAGTTGCTACATGTGGAAGACCACAAATGCCTCATCCTGATCTATCTACACATACAAAAATTAAATCCTTTATCCACTGAGTCAGGTTTCCATTCTACAACAGAATTTTTGTATAACGAACTTTACTGAATATTTCCGATGTTGAAACAAAATTGCAGTGTGTTCTCAAGGCAGCATATAATGCAATCAATTTAAAATGTATTGAAATTAATACTAGCACAGAAGATTAATAGGAAAACCATAAAATATACAAACCACACACCATCAATCTATTTCAGTTACTGCTTTCTAATAGAATAATAGTATAGACCAGAACCCAAAACACTCTGGAGAGATGTCAGGGCATTGGGGATAAAGGTTGTTTCTAGGTTGAGAACATTGTTCAGATGCAAATATTCTATTCCTTCTGAGAGTAGGATGAGAAACATAAAGGAGATTTGGACTGGCTAGAGAAAAACATTGGAAACATGGTAGAAAATGAATCTTTTTATATACTGAGAGTTCCAGAATGTCAGACTTGATTGATGTCCTAATGGGCTACTAATTTGCTTGCAATAAACATAGTCTTTATAGTAGGGATATTGAATACTGAGGAAGAAACTGCAATTGAATTCCTGTAGTGGAGGGTATGGACCTCACTTGACCTAGACATCATCCATACACACCCTCCCCTTGGGAACATGTCAGGATGGGGAGCCGGGGTGCAGTTTTCTTTGTAATCTGCTGCTGTCTTTATTTCCCCCTCACTCCAGCAAAATGGCTGGCAGTTCCACAGGCCATCTGAGGAGGAGGAGTAATTTCTGATGCTGCCTCCCAGTCTCCCACAAGCAACATTAATGGGGAAGTTGGCAGAAGATCAGAAGTTGCTGTGGTCATTTTGTTTCTCTAGTTAGGTAAAGAATTATTTCTGAAAGGATGACCCAATGAGTAAGAGGATGTCTTGTTATAACTAAATTCTTAACTCATTTAACTCGTATACTCTTTAATTTGTTACCCCAAAGGTGCTTTTTCAAGAAGCAACTGGACTTTCTTGTTTTTCTTTAAAGACTTTTCACTTCTCATCCAAGAAGCGTCATCAGTTCTGACTGGATGCTGGGGAATGGAAGGATTTATACATATCTGACCATCATTTTTATAGCATGATAACTTCAGAATGTTGGGTAGAATGAGACTGAGGTTCTTCCCTCAAGTTCTTACTTTCTTATTTATTTTTACTTACTGAAGCCCTCCATCTTCTTCAGAAGATACCATAGCATATCAGAAGCAGCAGTAAATGAAGTCAGACAGTCAGTCTGTCTCTAGGCTCACCTTTTGAAATCAGGAACAGATGTGATTCATAACTGGATTTTATTTTATCAGGGATAAAGGAAAGCAAGATACATATAAATCCTGAAAAATAAATTTATAAAGAGAATTTGTGATAGTTATAAAACAATTCACCTTTGCCCATTTTTAGTTTTAATGGTTCTATGTGCATTGCAAGGTCCATATATTAGCAACTTTACCTCCATTTGAAAAAAACACTAGGAAACAAAAAAAGATACAGGAGTGCTGTATGAAAAGAAGTATGAATATCTGCATTTCTATTTTTTCTACTTTGCTGCAAGGAGATGGTGTGATCATTTCCCCTCTCTCTAGCGGCTAGCCAGTCTCTATCTAGACTGAAATAATTGGCCTTTTTCTATAGGCTTTTAGTTACCTGCAATTGAAGGTACCCTGAGCAAATCTTAAGATGGACCACCATTTAATTTTATAAAAAGCATCAGTTTTGCTGATTAAATTGTATTTCTAGATTTTTTGTTAGGATTATATACATTTAATATGCTAAATTAAGTTTAGCATTGTACAATCTTTAACATTCACATAATTACAGTATTGATATTTTGTTTGGGAGGCTTGGCATTTTGCAAGCTTTCTTTTAATAATATGGGCTGCTTTGGGTTAGTTTACATCAAAAAATATCCGCAACAAAAACCAGGTCTACACGCGAAGGTTCAATTTAACTGATTCATTGGTAAAAGCCTATGCACAGGAACCTTCTCAACTAAAGATTCAGCACCTGGTTAGACTTAAGTAAGGGTCAATGGCAGTTGTTGATTTGTGGCTATGTAGTGATTCTAGGCTGATTCCCCTTTTCTCCCCTCCTCCTGGCTCTGCCAGTCTTTCTCCTTATAAAAAGCAGCACACAGACAAATTGTAATGATGATAACAGCTCACCATCTATCCAGCTCACCAACACTATGAGCAGGGATTTTTATTTTACTTCTTGAATGATGGTATTGCAACAAGTTTCATCTGGCAAACTCCACTCTTTTTCACTAGTTGTACAAAAGCCCTACTTTCTACTGTTTCTGGACATTTTAGTCCATAATTGTATTGGGGTTTTTTAAAGGTAGAACTCTAACACTGTATCACATTGTATCACAGTCAAAGAGAAACTATAACTGCATGGCAGTATACGTGCTTTGCATGCTGGAGGACCTGCATTACTATCTATTATCTTCAGCTTTAAAAAAGAGTTCTTGGAACTGAATTAGAAAAGATTTAATTTCTGCAGTTTTGGATAGCTGCCAGAGAAAAGAAACAATACTGGTCAAATCAGACCCTTGGTGATTCAGCATAAGGCATTCTGTTTGTATTCTAGTAATTGCATTTTGTAAGCAGAAAAATGTAAACCATTTGAGATCCATTGGCTTAAATAAACCAAAATATTTCTGAATTCCTACTACAGCAACTTTCTATTGCCCAAAAGATGGTAATCAGCCCATCTAAATGCTAAGCAGTTGACTCAATGCAACTACCTCCTCTTAGTCTTCCTAAGATTAACAGCAAATAGTAGTGGGCATTCAGGTGAGAGGTGAGTTTCAGCAGGTTCTGACCACTTCTGGAGAACTGGCAGCTGAAATTTTGAGTAGTTCAGAGAACCGGTAGTAAAAATTCTGACTGGCCCTTCCCCCATCTATTCTCTGCCTCCCAAGTCCCAGCTGATCAGGAGGAAATGGGGAGTTTGCAGTAACCTTCCCCTGGAGTGGGGTGGGAATGGAGACTTTACAGTATCCTTCCCCTGTCCCGCTCACTTAGCCATGCCACACCCACCAAGCCACACCCACAGAACTGGTAGTAAAAAAATTTGAAACCCACCACTGATTCAGGCATTTCAAAAAAATCCCTTAGCTGTAAAATCTAGTAAATTGTATTATTTCACATGTATGTCAAAATAACACGTGAAGAAACGTTCAATTTATAACATCTTCTAACTGCTTCCTTGCAGTATTACCAATGGAAGTAAATGAAGGCAACTTCAAAAATCCAAAGATTTTTGCTATATTTACTATATTGAAGTCAAATATAAAACTTTCAATGTATTTTTCTTTTTCTTCATATCCCTAAGATGGTGCTTTCTTACTCATTTCCATATCCAACCATATTTCGTTTTTTTTCATTGGGTAGGAAAGAATATCTGCAGCATGTTTCAGTTTACTAGTGGTTTCTCTTTCCCTTCTTATTAGAAGAAAAATTATAAAGGACAAGAAGTATGGCAGACGATAGGAAAGATGAAGCTAAGGCACCGCACTGGACCTCGGGTCAGATAGCAGAAGCTTCTTCACATCCACATGCTGCAGAGATGAAGGAGCAAAGTGGCACAGGGGAAGGACTGGTCAGAAGTTCTAATGGGTTTCCATACAAAGAGGATGAAGCTGGAGAATATGGTGCACATGGACCACAGAGCTCATATTCCAGAACCAAAGAGAATGGAATCAATGGAGAACTAACTACAGGAGAGAAAGACACTGCAGGTAAATTATCAAAAGACTACTCTTCTTTTGTTCTTGAAATCCTTGCTTTTAAGGGAAAGAGCACTGCAGAAAATATTTTTCTAGGCAATAGCATCCTAATAACTAGAATCAGTTTAGGCTTCCGCAGGTAACAGTTATGTTATTAAAAACCACAGTGCAGGGTATTTGAACTGGGATCCAATTCTGAAAGTGGGAAGAATGCACTGCACAGAAAGAAAAGTGTTTACATGTAGTTGCTCTTAGTAAAAGTCTTAGTCTATAGTATTTTCAGGCTAGAAAGCCACTGAGATCTTAACAAGGGCTTACTAGCAAGAGCAGAAACGCTGGGTTGAAGTCTAGTTGCTGAACAGTCAAACAGTTAAATTAGTCAAAGTCTAATTTAAACAAAGTCATTAAAATCTAGTTTTCAGAGTGAAAACAATGGCAGACTTTATAAAAATTAATTCTGTGCTACTTGAAAAATTGTTTTACAGCAAAAAAAGAAAGGGATGCTAGTGTATCATTATAGCACTAAATGCAGCTAGTAATGTCACAGATATTTTTGTTGCATTTACTGTATAATGGAATTAACTGAAGTATAATTGATGAATACGTGGCCTGCTGTAGGGGGCATAGGGGAATGACATTGAAGGTCAGGAGGAAGAGCCTCTACCAAAGCAATAGTTGGATAAGAGAAGTTCAATTCAGGTTAAGAAATTAATTTAAATAAATGTCTCAGGCCCCTCCCTAGGTCACAGGAAAATAATGTTAGGTGGGAGGGAAGCACATTCAGACTTGCAAGGATCTACTACAGGCACTGTTGGTGTTAAAATAAAAGTCCTCCTCCTCTATATGGCATTGGTTTCTTAGTCTGTCCACCTTGCAGGCCGACGCTTGCTTTGATTAAAGCCTAAGCAGCTATTTAATGTTAATGGCAATAAGATCTGATTTACTTTTAGTAGTTCCAGATAACCTGACATACATTCTGTATGAAGCAACGTTTATCAATAAATGATAAGAGATCTTGGCCTATTCATGCAACATACTGTGATCCTGGCATAGATGCCCTCCTTCTGCAGAGGCAGATACCATTTCAGTGCCTTGCAGCCTTCCGTAACACAGCCCTATGAATAGAAAATAAACAGATCTGGAGAACATATTGTCATAACAGCCCCTTGCCTGCTGCATCCTGTTTTTAGTTTTAGTTTAAGAGAACATTTTTCAATGGAAGGGTATGTCTCATATTCTTTGGGATGTGTAGGCCAGGCTCAGGAGATAGATAATAATCTCAGGCTAATTGTTTGGTTTGGGTTCAATCACTCTTGATGTTTACCATTCTGAAGCAGACAATGTTTTATTGTACTTAGAGATGTCCATGTTGTTGTTGTTGTTGTTGTTGTTGCTGCTGCTGTTGTTGCTGTCATTTTTTTCTTCCCACACCCATCCCTGCCTATGAACACCCCTAACTGCACTCATAAAGGCAATCAGGCTCCACTGAATAGGCTTCTCTTTGAAGTTCTGTATTGCTATCCTAGAAAGTCAATGAAATTATTCATTCCATGGCAAATAGTAGTAATAGTAATTGATAGTAATTACAGCAGAAGGATTTCTTGCCTTTAGCTGTCTTGGCAATTACGCAGATTCAAGCAGTTTGATTGCTTTCCATTTGCTTCCTTATTGTTGTTATTGATGCACAAGATAACTAATAAGCTTAGTTGCCATTTCAAATCCAAAAGCAAAATAAAAAACCCAACCCCAACATAAGTATGGTCAATTTTTAAAAAAAGCTAAACTATATTTGATCTAGTATTTCATGTATTAAGATATAAAATCTATGATTCTTCAACACAAGAAGCAGTGCTTGATCCAATACCTCCAAGCAGGATGGAATGCTTTAACCATTAGGAAGAAGAACATTTTCTGAAGAAAAAAAAAGTACATCTTGGGGAATATATGTGAGCAGGATAGCATCTGATCTTCAGAAATTAAGAGGAAATTCTGATGAATGCATTACCTGAGCCACCAAAATTTGGGATTACACAGTTAAAAATTATACATATTTTTGCCAATAGCTTAATTTTTTAAAATGAGAAATTAGTTCTTTTCCAACAATGGGAGATTTTTTTGTCATAAAACAGCATCATGGTGTATCAAAAGATATATTATAGCAGCAGTATAGAAGAAGAGTTGACATGTTAAAACACATACACTGTGTGCATGAAAGAGCAACAATAAACGCAGATGTGGGCTGATCTTAGACAGTATTTTTCCAGTAGGTAGGAAATAACTTTTCTATGAATAGAAGAAGCATTTTGCTAGTTGAAAGGCATCACTGGATCCTTAGTATCATTAAAATTATTAGTAGCTTATGGACGCCAATAGTAACTGGAAAATTATATATTATCCAATTGTATACTATATTTTTGTAGCCCCAAACCACTGCACTGTGTTCAGTTTGTCTGCAAATATATATATTTTCCACCATCTATTTAAATAGCAAGAGCAAGAGCACTTAGACTTATATACAGCTTCACAGTGCCTTAGAAGCCCTCTCTAAGCAGTTTACAAAGTCAGCATATTGCCCCCAACAATCTGGCCCCTCATTTTACCCACCTCGGAAGGATGAAAGCAGTGGTGGGATTCAGGTTGTTCAGGCTGGTTCGGGCGAACCAGTAGTTAAATTGCTGGCTGGCTCCGCCCCTCCCCCTTCCAGGAGTTCCCATGCGCCCCATTTTGGCTCCCAGGAGGCTGGAGGGAGGCCTCCTAGGCCCAAAACTGGGAATGGGGGTGCAGTGCCCCCCCGTGGCCCATTAGTGCTCCTAAGAGGCTGCAGGGAGGCCTCCTAGGCCCAAAACAAGGCGCAGGGAAGAGCAGCACGTCCCCCTGTAGCCCGTTTTCGCTCCCAGGAGGCTACAGGGAGGTCTACTGGCCCAAAATGGGGCACGGGGGGGGGGGCGGCATATCCTCCCTGCAGCTCCCAGGGGAGTGCAGGCCGACTGCTGCCAGTCACACCCCCTGGCCGCGCCCACCATGGCCATGCCCACCCAGCCGGTCATTAGGACAGAGAACCTGTTGTTAAATTATTTGAATCCCACCACTGGATGGAAGGCTGAGTTAACCTTGAGATGGTGAGATTTGATCTGCCAAACTGCTGGCAGCCGATGATCAGCAAAATTAGCCTGCAGTACTACACTCTAACCACTGTGCCACTGTAGCTCCGTTGCTAAATACATTAGTGCTCAATTTTTTCAAAAAAGAAATTCACCTTGAAGACAAGTTATTTCAGAATAAAACATATAATTGTTTGATGTTTTTATATAACAGAATCGGTGGTGGGTTGCTCCTGGTTCCGTCCGGTTCTTTAGAACCGGTAGTAAAAGCAGCGGGAGGCTCTGCCCACCCACCCGGTCATCATAAATGATGATCTGCGCATGCGCAGAAGCTTCTGCGCATGCGCACACTCCCATTGCGAACCGGTAGTAAAGGTAAGTAGAACCCACCCTTGAACAGAATACATCTTTTAAACTGCATGCACTAGCACTGTAAATCCATATTTCAAATACAAAAAATATGAGTAACTTTTAAAACTCCAGACCAGAGGTGGATTTCAGCAGGTTCTGACCAGTTCTGGAGAACCGGTAGTGAAAATTTTGAGTAGTTCGGAGAACCGGTAGTAAAAATGCTGACTGGCCCCGCCCCCATCTATTCTCTGGTTCTCAAGTCCCAGCTGATTGGGAGGAAATGGGGATTTTGCAGTATCTTTCCCTTGGATTGGGGAGGGAATGGGGATTTTACAGTATTCTTCCCCTGCCACGCCCACCAAGCCACACCCACAGAACCGGTAGTAAAAAAAATTGAAACCCACCACTGCTCCAGACCCTTACATTATGTTTTTGTAAATGGTAGTGAGCAGTGTAGAAATATATTTGTTTAGTATAAAGTGAAATATATTTGTGGGAAACTCCTTATACAGAATTAGTTAAGTATATATTTAAAAAGTAATAAAATGCCCTCTGCTGGGAACACTTTTTGTACATTATTTCATTGCATTATCTTTGTAATTGGAAATAAAATTTAATCTAGTTTGTTGTATTAGAGCAAGCTGTCAATCAATCATAGTGTAACTCGTCAGGAAGTTTCAGTTGAAACCAGGACAGGAGAACAACTGCAGATGATGCCTTTTGGGTTGATGGGTATGGCATCCTTAGTCTCCTGTACTCTGCCTCAAATAGTTTTATTACTATTAATTACTGGCTGCAGTTTTGTATCAATAGGTATTTTCTGCCTGCATTAGTGTATTCTTATAATGATGGGTGCATGTTTGACTTGATCTGTGTATAAAGACATTGTGAAATGACTATCACATGGTGAGTCTAGAGTCCCTCTTAATTGCCATTTTACCAAGACTACACATACAAAGTATATTTTCTTCTTCACACATTCCATTGTATGCCTTCAGGGCATTAAGTTTTGTAATAAGACTTTGAGTGTATGATTAAGTATACTTTTTAAAAAGGTAGTTTTATTGGAGTTCTGTAGCATGATTAGGGCAGTGCATGCTGTGTTAATTCAATAGCAATAACAATTCAAAAGAATAACATATATAGTCTGCTACTATGACTCCACATAGATTGTTTAAAATCCAAACCTTAGAAGCACTTGATAGTGCAAAGGAAATTTCTTTCACAAATTTTCCCCATGAGTTTGTTTGTGACTGTAATGGTGTGTGGGAATGACTTTGGGAGAAAGGAGGAAAAGCTGTGGCCTAGATCAGAGTTCTCCAATCATTCTTCCTTTCCGGACCAGTGAGGGAGGGGAGAGAGAATGATTCCATGTGAGCGGTGGGCAAGTGTGCGCATACATGCAGCTCCACTTGCATGAGCGTGCACACATGCAGCTTCATTTGTACAAACATGCGTGCAGCTCCATTTTCACAAGCAGTGGGCACGGATGTCCACTGCTCGCACAAATGGAGTGCATGTGCATGTGCTCACCTGCTGCTTGCATGAGTGGGGATTGGT